TGGGCCTGCGCACAGCAGGCCATACGCCACCGACCCTGCCGTCCCTGTCAAAAACCACTTAACAGTGATCGCGGGGTGGCCGCGCATGATCCAGATTTAGCCGCGAGGTGCATTTTGTTTTGTTTTTGTTAGGGATGGTCGCCCTGCGCGCTGCAGGCAATATGCTGACACCCCCGCCGTCCCTGTCAACAACAATACAAAGTGCTCGCGGGCCTCACGAACATGACTCAAGACTTGAGCTCGAAATGTATTGTGTATTTTTTGGACAGGGATGGTGTGGGTGGGCCGCATCGGGTTGGCCGCGCATGCTTGGAATGTGGAGGCGCAGTACTTTTTGTATGGTTTTGACAGTGATGGTGTGGGCGGGGGGGCCTCATGATGTCCTCATTGTTCCTGGTTGGCTGCCAGTCGCCTGGGGGAGGGGGTGTATAGTAATGGGGAGCAGTGATAGACCCTCCCCGAAGGGGAAGAAGGGTTGGAAGAGAAAGCTCTCTAGACCACCCACGCCCAGAGCGCTGGTGGGATTTCTTGTCACATCCTGCAGCAGCCATGGTCCAGGCACAACAAAGAACCACAACCACAACCACAACTTAGGTGATTTTTCTGGAGGGCCTCTCGGGGGAGAACCCACCGACTTCGGAATGAGCGCGGCGTTGGCTGTGGTTGCAGTCGGTTCGGCCGTCTGGGACGGCCACATCGACCACAACCATCACTGAGCTGGTTTCGGTGTTCTGACCATGGTTGGCATACGCCAGACATCCCCCAGGGTGTGTCCTCGATGTGGTTGTGGTCGCTTGCTGTCCCCGCACATGGACATACGGTCGGACCGAGGTATAAGATCAATGTCGTCTCGGGAAGGGTATCCTGAGGTTCTTCGTATTTGCTGGATGTTCTTGTGCATCTGGGGGGAGGGTACCCTTGGATGTTCTGTGTGGTTTGGCCCGCGGAGGGTCTCATGTTCTTGAAGGATGTTATTCTGTCCTAGGCCCGGCCGTAACAGACACCTCCCAGGGTGTCCTCGATGTGGTTGTGGTCGCTTGCTGCCCCCGCTCATATACGGTCGGACCGATGTATAAAATCGAGATAGGCTCCGGGAGGATACCCTGAGGTTCTTCGTGTTTGCTGGATGTTATTGTGCATCTTAGGGGGAGGGTACCCTCGAATGTTCTTCAGTTTTGTCGGCGGAAGGTCTCATGTTCTGGAAGGATGTTCTTCTGTCCGTGCAGTCCGACCGAGATATAAGATAGAGGTCGGCTCGGGGAGGGTACCCTGATGTTCTTCGTGTTTGCTGGCTGTTCTTGTGCATCTTGGGGGAGGGCACCCTTGGATGTTCTTTGTTTTGGCCGGCGGAGGGTCTCATGTTCTGGAAGGATGCTCTTCTGTCCTAGGTCCGGCCTTGCGCCAGACATCCCCCAGGGTGTGTCCTCGATGTCGTTGTGGTCGCTTGCCGTCCTGGCACCATGGACATACCCAGACCCCCGAGGTTCGGGCGGGGCTAGGACGAGGACAAATCCGTTCCAGAGCGTTCCAAAACGCTCTCAGAGCGTCCTGGAACGCTCTGAGAAGGCCGCGGCGCCCGATACATCCTCCAGAGCCGTCGGGTCTCAGAGATTCTGGGTTTGTCCTTACCTACATGTTTTATCCTCGTCCTGGATTCGTCTCAGACCTCGATGTGGTTGTGATCGCTTGCCGTCCCCGCACCGTAGATCAGCAACGCGCAGAGGGGGGGGGGAGGGCTGCTTAGAAGCACCCCTGCTTCTTGGAAGGCGCGGGCCTTATCTATAGACGTATGCGCTGGCGCCTTCGAAGAAACAGCCTCCTTCTAAGAAGCCCCCCCCCTTTCCCTCCACCCCCTTGTGCGCGCCGCCAGATGTCAGGATGGAACAAAACACACACAGACACAAGTCATCGTCGATCCCCCAGAAAATGTGGGAAGTGGGGGGGAAGACCTTAGTGGGCCCTGGAAACGACAGGGCCGCTTTTTTACCGGTTCCGTTTTGCCGTTTTTTACCGGTTCCGACTCCGTTTTTTTACCGGTTCCGTCGCCGTTCTTTTACGGGTTCCCGCTCCGGTTCCAATCTTGGAGCCGTTTTTGTTGCCGTTTCCGGTCGCCTTTTTTTGCCGTTCCTATTTTCAAGGGACGTTTTTTCGGAAACGGTGAAAAAATGGCCCTGCCGTTTCCGGGGCCCACTGGAGGGGAAGACGAACACCCAGAACACATGGAAGAATCTACGGGACCCTTGTGATCTGTGTCTGTTTGTTGGTGTGTCCCAGGGCCCCGTCAGAATGGACACGCCCGGGCCCCCGGCGTCGATCCCCCCGAAAATATGTGGGAAGTGGAGGGGGCGAAGACGAACACCCAGAACACATGGGAAAATCTAGGGGGCCTCTGTGATCTGTGTCTGTTTGTTGGTGTGCCCCAGGGCCCCGTCACTCCCCCGATCCATGGGTTTGGCGACTCGCTTATCCATGTCTGCGCTGGGGAGTCAGAGCAAAGCGTCAATGTAATAGTGCCCAGTGGCCTTCGGCCCATCTCGCCACCGTGCATGGTTCGTGGGTCAGGGGGGTGTTGGATGTCCCTCGAGGTCTCTCGGGATGCATCTCAAAGGCCTCTCTGGGCGCCTTTTCGGGGCCTATCGAGTGGAGTTTTGGGTGCATCTAGGGACGTCCTGGGGACATGTTCAGGGTCTTGGGCCCCCGGCGGAGGGGGAGGAGGGGGAGGAGGAGGAGGAGGAGGAGGAGGAGGAGGAGGAGGAAAAGCGTCAATGTAATAGTGCCCAGTGGCCTTCGGCCCATCTCGCCACCGTGCATGGTTCGTGGGTCAGGGGGGTGTTGGATGTCCCTCGAGGTCTCTCGGGATGCATCTCAAAGGCCTCTCTGGGCGCCTTTTCGGGGCCTATCGAGTGGAGTTTTGGGTGCATCTAGGGACGTCCTGGGGACATGTTCAGGGTCTTGGGCCCCCGGCGGAGGGGGAGGAGGGGGAGGAGGAGGAGGAGGAG